GAATGTTCTTGTTGATTGTTTCCGATTTTCTACATAGACAATCCTGTAACCTGCTAACAAAGGCAGTTTTATTTCTTTATTTCCTTTTCTTGTCTGATTAGTTAAATCTCCTTTTTCAACCCGTTCTCTTTTCTGTTTTTTTTTCTTAATTTTTTCTTTTGTTAACATTTATTTATTTTTGAGAGAGAGACAGAGACAGAGTGCAAGCAGGGGGAGAGGCAGAGAGAGAGAGGGAGACACAGAATCCAAAGCAGACTCTAGGCTCTGAGCTGTTAGCACAGAGCCCAACCCAGGGCTCGAACCCATGAACTGCGAGATCATGACCTGAGCTAAAGTCAGATGCTCAACCAACTGAGCCACCCAGGCTCTCCTTTAATTTTTATTTTTGAGAGAGAAAGAGAGAGAGACAGAGAGAGAGAGAGAGAGAGTGCAGGGGTGGGGGGCGGGGAGAGGCAGAGAGAGAGGGAGACACAGAATCCAAAGCAGGCTCCAGGCTCTGAGCTGGCAGCAGAGCCCAACGTGGGGCTCAAACCCACGAACTGCGAGATCATGACCTGAGCCAAAGTTGGATGTTTAAGTGACTGAGCCATCTAGGCACCCCCTTTCTCTTATTTTGAATCCATTCACTTTTCCTGTTTATTCTGCACTTTTCAGTCTGAATAACATTCTCCTTGTGAAATAAGACAAATGAAAGTTGAGAGAGTTGAGAGTCTTAGACAATGAGAGAGTTGTTTATGTTACACAAAACGGCACATATAATTAATTGCATATAAAGGAATTGAGTATTTAAATGTTTACAGACTTACAGATGAAATTAAATTTGACCCAGCCTGTTGAGAATTTGAATTGGATGAAAAGAAAATGAGAGGAGAAAGGCTATAGACAAAAATCAGGCATATGGTAAGAAAATATTTGTATAGCCCTTTAATAATTACATGAGCTTTATTGGAATGAAAGGTTATTGTGGAAAGAATGGGAATTAGTGAAAGTGAGGATATGGGAAGAGGCAACTTAATAAAATGGCACTTAAGTGCTATATTCATGGCACTTCAAACTGTATGGAACTTTACATTTAAAATGGGCGCCTAGTGGCTCAGTTGGTTAAGTATCCGAATTCAGCTCAGGGCATGATTTCATGGTTTACAAGTTGGAGCCCCACATCGGGCTCTGTGCTGACAGCTCAGGGCCTGGAGCCTGCTTCGGATTCTGTGTCTCCCTCTCTCTCTGCCTCTTCCCCACTCACACTTTGTCTCTCCCTCTCTCTCAAAAACAAACATTAAAAAAAAAAAACAACTTTAAGAAAACATTTTCATATAACCTTTTGAGGTAGAGGGAGGTATTCTTTTATGAATGAAAAAATTAATATTCAGATTAAGGAATGTATCGATTCCATGTAACAGTATGTGACCTAGTTCAGACTAAAACTCATTATCTTATATTTCCAAGGTCCTTTTTATTTCCTGATGCTGTTCCCCTTTTGTTGCCTCACCATAATACCCTGTACTTGTAACTCTTGAAAGTTTATTGCGTTTTCATGTGCAATATCTAATTTGACCCTCAAAAACCATGTGAAGTATATAGTTCAGGTATAATGTTTCATTTTATAGATCAGAAAAATGAAGATGAGAGAAGTTAACTAGATGTAAAGTAGCTTAAGACTGCTTTTTAATCTTTTCACTTGTTTTCTGTATGTTTTCCATTCCTGTTGTTCATTTTTCACTTTTTAGTCAAAATACTAATTTTTTCCAGTAAACTGAGACTAAAGGGAGTTAAATAGATTAAAAGGTCAATCCTATAGTAAGTAAAAGAACAGATCCAGATCTAACCGTATGCCTATGGCTGCTGTCTTCTTACCAATTTTCTGTTCTGGAATAAAGTATCTACTGGAAGACACAGAATTTTTTTTCCAGAAATTTCTTGAGACTTGTTCATACCATGATTGGCATTATGCTGTTAGATGTGTGGGGGATTATTTGGAGAGATCAGAAGTGGAGGTCAGTGATACCAGCTGTTAGGTGGCCATGTTACCATGGATTGTTAATGGATTTAAAATTCATTTGAAACAAGTGTGAAATGATGAAGTTCTTGATGAAGATAAAAGTTTCAATACTTGGATATTTCCACTTAAAAATGCATAGGAATAAAGTGCTATACTCTCCCAGTCTTACCTGTATTGATATTGGTTTGGAATGTTTTGATTTATTTGGTAATACTTTAAAAATTAGAATCAAATCTTCTACTTTTTTATTATCCCAATAACTTATGTTTGAAGTGTGAATGAGATAGGAACAAAGCAGTTCATATTTCTAAGCAGCTGCTAAGATCCATTCTGAAGAAGGACGCCTGGGTGGCTCAGTCGGTTAAGAGTTGGACTTCAGCTCAGGTCATGATCTCACAGTTCTTGGGTTCAGGCCCGTGTCAGGCTCTGTGTTGAGAGTTTAGAGCCTGGAGCCTGTTGCTGATTGTTTGTCTCCCTGTCTCTCTCTCT